CTATTTCACCACAAAGATGACATATTGGACTGGTTCCAACATTGGTAGTTGAAGTGATAAACTCGACCAGAGTCCTACAGATGCGGGCGGTGTGCCCCCTCATGTTGCATCTATTGCAATGCGGCACTCGACAGACTCCATGATGATGGTAGTTACACTTGCTGCAGTGTGGGAGGTTTCCCAAGTACGGTGTGGTCGGTGTTGGGATATCAGGGCTGATAGGGGTATTGACTGCCCCAACTTGTTGCTCTTCTGAAGGTCCTTGAGTTGAACAACTCCCTTTCTCGTTCTCGAACTTTCGTTTCAGGATATTAGGTTTGGGGTCCGGAGTGTCTTTACAAGTAGGCACGTGTTGCTGAAATTGGTTATCACCATGTTCGGGATTGCCGATCACATTTCCACTAACAATTGCGTTGTTAGCATTAAGGTGAGCCATGACAGCTGCTACGGCTGTTGTGACTGTAGCTTGAAATGTAGCCGAATCTATCTGAAGGATTGGTGTTTTATCGGAGGGTTGATTACGTTTCTTCGGAGGCATGATTCTGATACACGATAAGAAAATGAGCTCGTGAGCAACTATGGTTGTCTCTAGATGTATTCTAATCATTTATATATACATATAAATTTGTCGTTTTGTTATTCGGTTCTCAATGTTTCGACCTACATCCCTATGATGCAGTCCTGGTAAAGAGTATAAGTAAGTTTCTAGAATGGTTATCAGACGAGTGTCATCCGAACTAAGTTATCTTTGGTTGATGGATATCATGTTCCAACTTCCGAAAAGATCTGAAAGTAATTCATAATAAAGTCTACATAAAATAGACTTATGAATTTGAGAAATAATCACTCTCAATTGAGATTTTGTGATCCGATTTATTGTTATTAGCCGAGTCAGGGAAAGACGATAAGCTCAAAACCTAATGTGAGTAATTTAATCACTAACTCACTAGGTTTCATTATTTATTAGTTATTACTGTGATGAAAAGGCACTCAAACACTTCGCATGTAACACGCGTGGTTTTCCTCTGTTGTCAGTTCTATTCTGAGTGGTAATGATTTATTCTCTCCGGGTATCTATATGGTGTCCTTCTCCTTCGTAGGTATATTGAATTTATGTGCCGTCTTACTTTCGATTCTTACACTGATCTCCATTACTTCATAATGAAGAGTTCGAATCCCGGAAGTTCATGCGAGCCTCTCATTGGTGTCCTTAATAAGGTAAGGGCACTAAATGACTTTTATAGTTTCTTTACTTCTCATCTGTTTCATTCTCGGAATTCTCTTAATGAAACTCTGTTGGATCCTCCTTGACTCTTCTATTGATTGTTGGAGTGACTACATCTATCTAAGGGGTTTATACGAGAATGGGAATGTCTAAAGAATCTATGAGAAAAAAAATTAATTTTTTACGAAGGTGATCCTTTCCGGTCATTCTATAATCACATAGTGTGTACCGATTATATATAATCCAGATCAAATAGGCCTTCAAATAAGTAATCCTACTCTAAAACCACATCCAAACCCGGAAAAGGGAGTAGAGTGAAAACCACATATTCTAAGTCTATAAAATCTCAACTATATATAACCTTATCATATTCACTTAGTAATTATAGACTTACCAGAAAAGATCTTTTAAAATTTCCCAAAAGTTTATTTATGGTATCTAAAATACTTCTATAGTATTTTAATTATATGTTTGATTCTTGAACTTCTAGATATAAGAAGTTGATAATTTCCAGTTTGGTCGTTATAGTATCCTAAAATACTCCTATAGTATTTTAACCTTCATGTTTAGATCTAGAATTTTTCTGATATCTAGGTAAGTTTTAGACTTATTGCAACACTAAAATCACTCCCAAACACATGTTGGTCATATCTCAAATGAATATAGTTGATCAGACTATATTGATCTCAGATATGATTACATAACTGTCCAGGTTTAACTGCAATGTCCAACATCCAAATACTTTTGTTTTGTTCTTCTTGTGATACTCGTTCTAAGTATATATATTATGCATGTACTTATACTTTTATAAAATATTGTTATATTTTAAAGTATAACTCTTGGTCAGAGTGTTTTTATCCCAATGTGTTTATAGTTGTATATCTTTTATGACTGATATACTGAGTTCACTATAAACAATGCTCTGATACCAATCTGTCACACCCCCAAACCAGAATGGCGGAAACGTTCGGGGGCGGAGGACGTCATGTAAGTATCACAACACATGCATTATAGTAATCAAAGTACAAACAACCATTGCATTAATAAGTATACGTTTTACATAAGTGTTTAAACATTACATATTCAAACAACAAAGTAGATACAGTAGAAGACAAAAGACGCAGCACGGTACTAGGCAGTCTTCTCAAAAGCTTCGGGAGTGTACTTGTCTACCGGATTCCTGAGAATAAAAGTTATTTTGAAAGAGTAGATTAGCATTTAAGCTGGTGAGTTCATAAGTATTTTAGTTATATGAAGTATACTCTAAGTTCTTGGAAAAGTTCGCTGGTTCCTCCAGAAAATCATATATTTTCTGATGTGATAAAATGATAACCAAAATAGTTCTCTCTGTAATTACTTAGTTTATACTAGTTATATAAAACCTAATATCGAACGGACAGTTGAATGTGTGAATATGCCGTAAGCCCACAACCAAACAAGGAACAAGAAGTAAGGCAGAAGTTACACATTCCACTGCCTATCGGATATTACTTATATATAAATATGATGTATAAACTAAGGAATTATAGAATTAACCATTAAAGGTCATTTATGTTATACTAGTTTTGAGAAAATGACTGATTTCGTTCCAGAAAATCTTATATTTTCTGCTTTACAACTGATAAGTAGTTTTAATTCCATAAAACCGTTCTATTTAAGTATTACTGTACTTATAATAAAGTTTAACATAATTTTAACTATCCATAAAATTATAAGAAGGATGTTTTCCTTTTTGTTGGTGATAAGTGGTTTTAAATCCCCATAAAACCGTGTTGTAAAGTGGTTTTAAATCCCCATAAAACCGTTTCGTTTTATTTGTGGAAAGTGATTAATACAGTAGTATTTCTTAAAAATAAACTAGTGAGAATAACTACCCTAATATTAACCTGGTTAATTAGGGTTTAAAATGTGATAAAGTTGTAACCATGCTGGACTAGAATGAACATGACGATCTACTGGTGTCGAAACTGAATATGTGACATTTGTCACCCCATGGCTGATCTGTCGGACTGTATCTAACAGTCGGGATGTGGGATTATCAGTCCCATATAGATCTATACACACAATGCCCGCTCTCCCTCCAGGAGACTCTGGTTACAAGAATGTAACATATCAAGTATTACTATGTCCTGAATACGTACCATCACATTTTAGTTTGAGTAAAGATCGAATTATATCCTTTTCTCGATAAAGTAATTTAGACCTCGTATACTTATCTAGAAAATAGATTTCTCGTTTGTTTCATAAATTATACCTATTATAATTTATACGTTCTATCTGATTAGCATGATCTATCATGAATGTACCCCCTTTGCTCAGCATGTACTGGAGTAACCTTTTATATTCCCATATGTATAATGTATGTAATTAAGAAGGAAACGGCCTTCGGACAAATAACTCCACCTTAAACCCACATCCAAACAAGGAAAAGGAAATAAGGCAACTCATTACTCCTAAGCCCTTTAAGTATTATTTATATACTTATACATATATGAACATGATTTTGACAATTAAAAGGTAAAAGAGTTTATGTGATTTTGAAAAGAGTTCATATGACTTTAAGTCATTATGGAAGTATTGGGAAATCCTTTATCGTAAGAATAACAATTCAAAGCATAAGGAAATCTTTTATGTGATTGATATCACATGTATTTACTAACACAATTAGTTTGTGTTCAACTTGTATTCCCCCCCTAAAAAGCATTTAAAATAATTTAAAAGGTAGATTATAGGGGTATGAACTCACCTTATGTCGGTGATTCGATTGAAGATATGGTATAGGATGATAAGTTTCACGAGTGAAATCCCGAGCACAAACGGATCAATGAAGTGTTAGAACTAAAAACGAGAGGCTGAATGATGATCATGACCAAGAGTGAAGGGTTCACGGCCCTATGAGTGGTTCATGACCCAAGAACATGAAGAACACCTGAAGTGTTCACGTCCAAGATGATGTGTTCACGACCCTGGGATGGTTCACGGCCCAAGAACACCTGATGATCTTGAAGAAAATGTGATGAATCAAAGATGGAATCAAAGGGTTTCACATGAACAACAAGAAAAGGCAAGTGTTTCTTACACTTTTGAGGAGAAAGGAGGGTTCATGGTTGATGATACTTGAGAGAGAATAGGGTGGTTCACGGCTGGAAGATGAGAAAATGAAGAGAAAATGGCAACACCCTATTATATATACGAGGGTTCACTGTCCGAAGGGTTCACGGCCGTGAACCTCGTTTACGGTCCGAAGGCAGTGCTGGCCTAGAAGCATTAACGGTCCGAGGTGTTCACGGCCGAAGCCTCGTTCACGGTCCGAAGGTTTTGGCCTCACATGGGTTTCTCGGTCCAACTTGTTTCACTTCATTAAGCATACAACACCTTGAATACAAGGTGTAAACACTTATATAAAATATTAATCTAACCCTTCCAAGATAAAATAAGATTTAAGTTGATTTTAGTTGACCCAAGTTTGACTTTGACTGACTCGGGTTGACTTTTCAAGAAGAAATAACGGGTTGTTACATTGCATCGTAGCATCATCTTCATCTGTTCCCATGTCTCAACCTTGGATTTTCCTTCTACATGTCATTTCTTCATTAACGATGTCGCACAAATGGAATACATGTTCAATGGTGCTTAGCCATTCACTGAAATCATCAGGATCTTTCCTAAGCACTCATGAAATCTTCCAGAATTGAGCTCAAAGACATACATACTCGTAATGATTCCTTTATGTAAAAAATATAGCATCAAAATATAACATCAATCAATCAATCAAGATCCAGCAACCCCACATTTTTTTTAACAAAACAGTGAAAATTGAGTACAATTTCAATGCAGAATTTTATGTTTTATTAAAATCACAAACTACCATCTCCAATTTATATATTAACTAATAAAGACATCAACAAGGAACATTCATTCTTCAACAACAACACTGATCTCACCCTTCTCCAGAAGATCATAAAAAGCCCTTGTTTTTCTCTGCTCATTCCAGTGGTGCATCTTCCACAAACCACCAGCAGCCAACCCAAGCACTGCCCCAATCACCAGTTCCTTCACCACACTTGGCCCTTTCAACACCGGATGAGCCACCCTACCACCACCCATTATACTAAAAAAAACCTGTAAATCAGCACAGATAATCTGAGGAAAAAATAGTAACAATCACAATAGTAAAAAAATGCAAATGTGTTATTATTATGGGAAAATAAATGTATGTAAAGATTAAAAATCCGCAATGCAAAAGGCAAGTCAATTTGTTTCTGTTTTGATTGATTTGACTTCTTTCTGGATTTGTTTATGGGAATGGAACTAAAATTTTGGATTTGGGTTCTTCATTTCACATGTGTCCAAACAACCCTAACTTTTTACAAATTCCTCAATTTTAATTCTACAAAAAAAAAAAAATTTACATAACAAATTAATTTCCTGTTACATAAACGGATAATGCTATTTATACGTTCGACTCCCATGTCTGCAATGAAGAATGAAGATACAACAACTACAAATGAGTTAAACAACAATCAATCAAGTTGATTAACAAAGCCAAAAACAGTATAACTAACTAACTCCACAATATCATGATAATCGTAACAATAGCAAATTTTAAACAAAAAAGAGGAAAAATCAAGCATGCACGAATCTACGATTTTAACGGATCTACTTGTTTCTGATTTAAATCTTTGTTTCCTAGAGACAAAAACATGCTGAGAAAAAGAGTTGACGGAAAATTTACCGGAGACGACGACGACTGGCGGACTTTTTTCGCCGTTCGCTTGCCCTACGGATGCGCCTTCTGTGACGAGTGATTTTAGTTTTTGACTTCTTGTTTAGTAAAGTTACGGGTCTAATTTAACGAAAGAAAATTTGCATTAATACTCCTTGTATTTTGTTATATTTTCAAATCAGTATATAACTTTCTTATTTTGGACAGATGGACCCCATGCGTTTCAGTTGAAGTATCATATAGCCCCTTGTGGTTTCTTTATTATATAAAACTTCCCAACGAAAAATATATACTTCTCGAATATGTCAACTTGAACCATTTTATGCCCAAAATGAACAAATTTGGCATCGGGCTTAATATGACCTAATGTTTTTGTTTAATTTATAAACGTAGTTCTAAACAAATATCATTCTCTTATAACAATACACATATAACATTTTTGTTTTGGTTTTAGTTTTTGTTTTCAGTTGTAGTAAACACATAATTGTATTTGTTTATTGGTTTTCAGTTGTGTAAAACATGCTCACATTCATAGCACACCAATGTTTTAAAACATGGGTTGACCCAGCCAGTCGAACCGGTTAGACCGTGACCCGGTGAAGAGAGCGGTCAAACATGAACGAGTTTTTTTTTGGCTATTTCTGACTTCTCAAAAACCCGGACCTGGAACTGCTGAAAACCCCGGTTGAACCTCTGGGAGCAAAGAATGTTGTTCAAATTGTTACTTTGTAATAGTTTTGTTAAATTGTTACTTTGTAATAGTTTTTGTTTATGATACTATTAGATGGCCTTTTTTGCTAGCTTGCTATTTACATATTGGTGTTTGTTCATTTTAGTTTATCGAACTCGATATTGTTGCTTTTAATTTGAAAGAGGTCATTGCCATTTTTATTAATAGCACCTCATTAGTTTTTGGTGTTTAGTGTTTTAATATATAGATCTTCAATCTACTACATACGAGTAAAGTGCAAATGTTATTACATTTTTTTAATACATACAGGTTAATTGGTTAATCGTGTGTTTTGAATTAATATTTAGTATCTATTTTAATGTTTGGTTTGAGTTTCTAGTGGAACACTTAGGCCCCGTTTGGTACGCGGAACAGGATGGGACAGAACAGAACAAAATTCTATCACTGAGCGTTTGGCACGGACGGGACAGGGACAAAGTTAGTTGTTGACCAAGTCCAATGGGACTATTTCTCCAAAATTTAGTCTCATCTAAAACCATAGAACACAATGGGACAAAAACCAAAATGACAAAAAAAAAACCTTTCCAGTTTCCTTTTTATTTATCCACCACTCATATTTCCCACAGAAATTGTAAGAACCCCTTCAAGACGTTCGTCGGTAAATTTTTGACAGTTTACAAAAAAAAAAAATTAAAGAAAAAAACTTATTGCAAAAAATACGTTCGAGTGTAATGGTGTCTTCTTATCAACAAACGAAAAGCTATTTTCAAAAAGAAAAAAGAAAACTTTTTGGAAAGTTTTTCAATATAGATAGAAGACATGATTTTTGTAGCTAAGTATAATTACGATGGTGGTTGATATCCACTAATGAATATGGAGGAGAATATGAGACAGATACATGATGGATAAAGATTGGATAATATCGAAATCTGTACAATTATACGTATATATATAAGGTATTAATTAGCATATAAAATACCTATTTTATAATCATTATTATATTGTAAAAGAATATTAAAAATTATTTCAAAGATAATTTTGTAATTTTATTATTGTGTTCCGTTTTGTTCTGGTGTTGCCAAACGCTATATAACAAGTTCAGTCTAGTTCTGTCCAGTCTAGTCCAGTTCCGTTCAATCTAGTTCTGTCCCACCTAGTCCCACCACCAAACGCTACCTTAATGGTTAACAATGGTTGTTTAATTATTTGATATGCATGAATATATAAAATGAATTTATTTTTTGATAACCAGGTTGAACTGGTCAATTCAACTTGTTTTAATCGATATACATCATATCTAATCGCTATTGCTTTATTTCATAAATCATGTCACATTTCCAACCCTATATGAAAACAAGTCAATTTGGCTTTTATGCAACTCATAACGGGTCAAACAGGTAAAACTGAATTAAGAAGCCATGTCAAAATGTATTTATATATTTGTAACCTCTAACATTGTATTATTATATATTTTATGCAAACATGGTTAAAAACTTAAAATATATAAATCTAGAGATATGTAATATGCAAAATCTTAAATCTCTACATATCCATATTCCATTTCCCATGTCTAAGAAATTATAAAAACACAGGCCACAGCAGGTCACAACTTGGTGTAAAATTAGAACCAATGAAAAGGGGTCCAAAATCCAAATATTTTTTAAATAAACAAAAACATGTTATATAACTAAAGAAAAAAAAAAGTTATCTCTTCTTTTTGCCACCCTTTCCAGATTTAGAAGGTCCAGTGGTTGACGTGGCAGCAGGCTCCTGTTTCTTTACCCTGCCAGGGTGTCTTGGAACCAATTCAGCAACATGAAGCATCAGGTGTTTTTCTGCAATTCAAAATTTCATAATTAACATTAGCATGTTTGTATGGATAAAGTGCTGTATACATAAGGTGTGTTTGTTTTTTTTTTCTAGACCAAATAAACCGTATGAATGAGATTAAATTACCATTTTACCATTACACTCCAAAAAATATTCATCAATTTTGGTTAATGTCTTAATACATTAAACCAAGTTTTCTGGCTTAACCTATTAACTCATTCTGTCTAGATTAAGTGCTTAACTCATTAAGCCCCATTAACTCAAGAAACAACTATTTTCTTCATATTATTCATGTTAAATGAAAAAAACAAGAAAGACTATTAGCCATATAATGAGGTTATTTTCTTATGATGTTAAAATTTAGGGTTCCTATTTCCACATTTATACTGGGTGTTGCACAAAATTTACATTCATTAGCCACATGATCATACAACAGAATCAAAAAACAGGAAAAAAATGGAATAAAAATCAGAACTTTTCAGAAATCAATGCTTACTAGATGTGATAGCTTGGTTGTATAAACTCCCATCCGACCTTTTCAGAATGAACCTCACCCTTCCTACTTGCATGAAGTCCCGTGGATATGCCTTATCAAGCTTTATAAGAATGAAAGTGAATTAGAACCCTAAATTACAACAGTTAAGTTAATAAAAGAGCTCCTTATACTTGATAAGTGCTACAGTGATGGGAATACACACGAGGGGACCACAAAAGATGACACACACAAACCGTTGCTAGTCTATTCTAGAAGGGGAATAAGGGCAAAAAAGGAAAGTAGCTGAGGAGTTAGTTATGCCAGCATAAGAGAATAAATAGAGGGAGTGTGTGATATGATGTTTATGATGTAATTTTTCTGTATTCTGTTTGGGCTCCTGAGATTTGATTTCAGTGAGAGAGGGACCACTCCCTGGGCAATCATTTGATTGTTAATCAATTCCATCGTCTTCCCATTTTTAATCATTTATCTTCTCTATTGTTGATTTCATTGTTTTTTCCCTATTTGTTATTGCTCCATTGATTATCAATCCCCATCATTGGTCCGACCTGCCGGATATGATGTTTCTGTTTAACAAATTACTATTCTTCAGATGAACACAGATAGATAATCAACTGATCCATGTTTGGATCTTTCATTCAAGTTGTAAGGATATTGATACCAAATCAACACTAACTGTATACATTATGTCAACTTGTTGATTTCATGAATAAAACCTCCACATTCTAATCAATCATTCTTAAAACGTGAAAATCTAGTTCACTTTAAAGTTGAAATTAAACTATTCGATATCAGAAGTAGAATCATAGCTTCGTGTAAAAGAAAATTCAAAGTGAAGTCGAAAAAACCTCAATAGCGAAAGGAATTTTCAGGTGGCTGCAACAATCACCGATTTCTACAGCGGTAGGGTTTTCGCATGCTTTTGCTGCGCAGATTCGTCTACCTTCAGCTATAGTCTTCTTCGAGTTTATGTAAACAGGATATAGTATATTCCATTTTTTGAAATTAGGCGTCTCTCCATCCATAATTTTCTGTTAACAGCCTAATCGCAATCAGAAATCTGAATCGATCGGATAAAGATAGATGTAGATACCGTAGCAATTACTAAATACAGATTTTTAGGAAAGACACGATCAACGACATACCTTTTTCCGATTGGACGCCGATCAAGGACTTTAAGAAGGAGTGGCCAGAGACGGCAATGTGGTCGACTTCCGGCGAGAATCCGAGAAATGGGACGAGGCAGCTGCAAAAGCAAAAACTGTCGTCGAGAAAGAAACTGCAAATACCAAAATGCTAAAAGCCCAAAATGTTGGACTAGTAAGATAATATAAGAGGCCCAATTATAAAGGTATAACAGGGTGTTTGGATTAGTTTTTTTATTGAAGTCGATAAGCTAAAAATATTAAAATAACCATATAATGCTTCATCGAGTTTTTGCTATTGCTTGTTCATTTTATGTATGTAAGGAGTTTTTGTCAAAAGTACTTATCATTTTATCGGTATATATTTCTAAAATAGTCTACATTAAAGAAACAAATCATAGTCAAACTAAATTGACTAATTATGTTTAGTTTAGAGGTGCACAAAAATAGGATGTAATCTAATCCATTTTTTAAAATCCAATTGGTAACTAATTTCGGAGGTATTCGGATACCAAATAATCTGGTCCAAATTTATCCGGATCTGGGCCAGGAAATAAGGATCCGGTATGTTCGGATTCATCATTCATATAGGTTTAGAATTGGATTTTTGAAATTGTATATCCAATTTTTCAATGTATATTAAAAAAATCACTCCAACCAAATATATATTTTTATTGTATTTGATTTAAATAGAAAATAAAAAACAATTATAAATTACAATAACATAAACCTAGAAATTGAAGATACAGTTATGACAAGTTTGGTTTGCAAAATGTCTAGAAAGGAATTGAGTATAAAGAATTTTAAATTTATTATGAGTTTAGTTGATATTAGAATATAGATTTTTGTTGTTCTATGTTTGATTTATAGAGTTGTTGAAAAAAATTGAAATGTAAAATATACAAAGTTTTGTTAAATTTTTTTGTTATTATTTCCTGTTTTATAGAAAAAGACTAAATTATAACATACTGTATCTGTTACTTTTAAAAATATATTGTTAAACCCAAATAATAAAATAAATACTCAAATAACCAACAAAATAAAATCGATCAAAACATAACTAAATAGAATTTCAAACAATATTATTAGCCGGCTAACTAAGATACGTATGAAGTATAAACTAGTGGTGTACCCTCCTAGTTAGGGTTAAAGAGGAGAAGACGGTTTCTAAAATCGATAAACAACTTGAATCTTCTTGAATGATCATTTAATCACTTTTCGAATATGATATTTCGACCATATGACTGAGTTAAACGAAATCCAGATTATGGGTATAATCTTTTAACGAACAATCTTCAGTCAAGGCACCGATAAAAGGTTGCGAACTACAGTTTTATAAAATTCATAATTTTCTGATTACCAAATATAAGTATCAATTAACATTAAATGATGATTTTATCACTTAAATAAAAAATGTTGATTTCAAAGATAATTATGGAGAATATATTCCGAAAATATCATTATGGGACCCCGCTAGGAGCGCATCTCCCTTGGCCCTCACCATTTAGTTGCACCGAGATCAAACTCATTTTATACAATCGTGTAATAAAATCATAAATTGAACTAAAATCTCCCACCTCTCTCTTAATAAGGACGGACTCCGATCTAGAGGCCCAATAGAAAGGGTAATAGAGTGATCATGGTTTTTCTTGTTTTCTTTAGGAGATTGATTATGAATTATGACCACCAAAACCATCTTTTATGTTTTTGCTAGTGGGCTTTTCTAAACCCATTTTTATCAATCAAAAGAATAAAAGACCAAAACCCATTTTAGTTAATTCCAATTTAATAAAGACTTAAATCAAAATGAGTAAAAATTTATAAAAACATCCCAAAATTCAGGAACTATACTAGGAGGTGATCCAGAAAGAAATTGCAAATTTCCTATCGTAGATGATGAGAGAAATCATAAGACGCAGGGTGGAGGTATTGTCCATAGCCGCCAAAGATGGTGAAGTTGAAGAGAGAAAACGCATTCATAGTTATGCAGTAGTCTCTCAAGTAAATTAGAAAATGTAAATTTTACTCAACCAATCAATCTAGAAAAAGATGATAGGGTTATATGTTAAGTAATATGTATTTAAATAAAAACATAAGGTATAAATTAATTAAAAAAATACAAAACCATTTGGTTTAAATGGTTTCTCGGTTTAGTTTTTTGCGAAACAAATCGGTTTGTTTATAGAACCGAATCAAACAAAATATTTATAATTTTAAAAAATTTACAAACCACACCATTGGATTTTGTTCCATCTTGATTTGGTTTTTGCTCATCCTTTATTGATTTGACTATTTTCTCAAAAACTTGATAACATAAATCAATCCAGTGTTCCATAGGATAAATGAGTCATGCCAATGTGATGACAGTCTATTGTTAAAGTGGGCAATTCCGTAAAAATTATCAGGGTTCAAAAACCCGTACATTCAAAATATTATCAGTATTTCATGATTGCTCTATCATGAGATAGTCATGCAACAAATGTCAAGAGGGTGTGGTTTATCCCTTGATCATTGGATGACATTAAAAGAAAAACGTGAATGAAACAACCACGTTAAGAAGTAAATCAAACAGAAAAGAGAAATGGATAATATTTTCTCCTCATTAGAGCTTCAAATTAAACATCTAACATCTCCAATGCACCACATGACTAATCACTCGAAAAAGAAGAAAAAGAAAAATCAGAAACAGCATTGCCCTTTCATAGTTCTTTTATAATGGGCTTTGGCCTAATGGACCTAAGTTTAAAATACTATACCAATCAAAATCTTCTAAGGATATTCATTATGGGCCTGGCCCACATTGTTCACCTTCGTCGGACCCATCTGTGTACCCGTTTCAGCCAGACCCATCTCTGCATTTGCTTTCCTCTCAGCCAATTGTCGCTGTGTTGACTTGTAAAAGGTAGCGTAGAGTATTAACTGGGTTATACCCAATAGTGATCCAAGCCCATTTGGTATCTGTATAAAAATAACTTCATTAATCTCATATTAATGTTAGCGTATATATTAAGCAACTTTAAAAAAGAAGTTGCATATGTATTTAAGTTAATGTAATTTGCAAGTAACCTTCGAAAGAGTAAGCAAATTTCAAATTTAATAATTAATTGTCATTATATATTTTTTTTATTGAAAAATAGAGAAATAGCAACTTACAACGATGTAGGGATCAAAGCGAATGAGTGCGTAGATAGTCCAACTTATGCCATTCAGCATCGAAAACAAAGACAAGAAAAATGGCATATATTCCACGCTTTTCGTTGTTATCACAAGTTTCTGATAAAAAAAATATTTTAATATTTTATAGAGATAAATTAATTGGAGGAAGTAAAGAAGAGGCATACCATAACAGACAATGGAGACGCATACATCATAATATTCCCAACAATGGCAATACTTCCGACAATATCTGACCGGACTTTGGTGGAATGGGCAACGGTCAGGACCAGGGCAGACAAAACGCCGAGAAACACCAGTTCGCCGGCAATGATCAGTAGCATTTTGATCCTCTGCTTCCGGTCACAGTATATCAGGAAGAGCAGCAGATACACAGTCTCGATCAACAAACCTGTGCCGTTGATTGTGATGACCAAAAAGCTGTGAGGATGGACCACCGGAAGTCCGTACAACACCCACACTCCGCAGTTTATAAAGGTGGCGAGGTACGGCACCGGCGAGAATTGCTCCACTGTTCTTTTCTTCACAATTTGAATGAATGTTGGCCTGAAATTTTTGTTTGACTTTTGGTCAAAATTAGAATTTGTTTGACTTTTGGTCAAAATTAATATCTTTACATTATTACTTGTAGGATTTTTATAAATAAGAACAAAATTGTAAAACTAACTATATTTCTTCCCTTACACTCAAAATTTATAAACAGGTAATCTTTTGTTCTTTTCATTACATTTAATTTTGTCCTTTTCTTTTTTCATTTCATTTAATTGTTGTCCTTTTCTTTCTAAACAAAAGTTGATAACAGAATGTGAGATTGTGAGTGATAATGATTAATGAGTTTTTTTCTTTTAATTCTTGTTAAAAAGAGTTTAATACCCAAAAAGGAAAAAAATAAAAAAATCTACTTTTAGTTGAAAAACTTTACAAACGAAACAAATAATGAAATTGAGGTTTGACCAAGTGGACCTCTTTACTTTCAATATTTTATCACAAAAAAACTTTCTATATTCATGAAAATGCTATTTTTCAGCGTTTCATTTTTTGAAATATATATAAAATCTTATTTTATGATCTCAAAAATCATAAATTATTTTATGAATGTAATAAAAGCAGCTCTGAAGATAAAAGAATGTCTCACATAAATCACAAATATGTTATATATCAAATGTAATTAAAAATTTAATATAACTATTTACAAATGACCAAAATTATTTTTTTCGGAATTAAATGTTACTTCATGAGTGTACTTGAGATTTAAGTTTTCATTAATGGCGGAAGAATCACAAAAAAAGATAAGACTGTACTAGGACTAGGTAGTTGGCCTTCATATTTCACACCTACATGGCTACATTGACGCAAATGTCAGATTTACCCTTTCACTATTCAAAGCATTTAACATTTTTGCACAAAAAACACTTTTTCTAGAGGGTAAATCTGTCATTTGAACAACACACTAAACTCGTGAAGCGGCGAAGGTACATCCACAGAGCATGGCGGTGAAAAAAATGCAAAACTTATCATGTTTCCATAAAAAACTAGAGCAAAAATGATCATGTGTGTGTGAGTGTGTGTGCGAGTGTGAGTCAAGTATAGTAGAGAAAACTTACACAGGAGATAAGAACAAGATGAGTGCAATGACATTTCCTGAAAAGCAACAATTTAGATCAGATTTAGAATTCGAACAAAAAACACAAATTATGAACGCCGAATGCACTTCAGTAACGAAATGATTTCATCTCTCGCTGAATCTCTCGATCTCTAAAACAATTTCACAGAGGGATCGAATGCCATTGATGAATTACAATTGACATGATTTGAAATCGAAAGTTTAAAACAGCTAGTAACAAAGCTTCCGAGAATGAAATTAAGCACTTAAAAGGACATGCAGAATCATTTAATCAAATATATTCTTAGATCGATCGATCGATAGATAGAATGTGTGTGTGTGTGTTTTACTCACCGATGATGCCGACTGCTGTGCGTGCGAATTCTGAAGAAACCATGGTGAAGAAGCAAATTAGTGGAGTGTGTGTGTTTGTTGCTGAGGTGAGAGGAGGAAGATGGGGTGTTATATGGTGTTGCTTATGGAGATAGAGAGAGAAAGGGTGACGAGTGTGTGTGTAAATTATTAATGACAATCGGTTGAGTTTGGATTTTTGCACTTTAATTTCATCCATTTTTTTTTAAAAAAAATTACTGGATAACACATTAAATATAAATTTTATGTTGATGACTTCTATATTGTATTAAAAGAAGCAAATTGAGTGCGAAAAAAAGAAAATAGGACATGTGTTAAATTTTGTTTTGGAATATGTTTATTTTATTTTCTATTTTTTATAAATTATGTTTAAAGATATAGTTTATGTTTTGTACAAAAATAAAAGTTTTGATCCGCTTCAATAGTAATTGAGTTCACATTATGTAATTTATTTTATTGAACTAAAAACATACATGATACATCTTAATCTCTTAGATGTTAATTTTGAAATTACATTTATAGCCACGGATTAGCTAAAAATTGTTTTTTCTCAACATGTACGAGATGTCGAGGATACCCTGCTGCATAATTTTTATAATAATAATAATAATTATTATTATTATTATTATTATTTGGATTCATTGTATTGATAGTTGAGACTAGATGCTAGTTAAATGATCGATTGGACTCTTGGAGGACAACATCGGCAGATAAAGGGTTATTTATCGATAAAGTTAAGACAAATTATATTTGATGGAATTTTTACGGGATATCTTCAGAAAAGTCCCAATATTTTGGACAAATTTTTAATAAAGTCCTAAATTTTATTTTTTGAATAAAAAAGTCCTGACATTTTCACATTTTGAATAAAAAAGCCCAAGAAACCGGCTAATTTATTCACTTTAGCCCTTTTTGACCTGTTCAGCAGGTCATGAGACTAAATTGTTAATTTTTCGAAAATAACGGGACTTTTTTGCAGATTTCGTCAAAATTTTTATATAATGTATAAACATATTTTTTACATATCTATATCTATTTTTACGTATTTTTGTATTTTTTATGTTTTTATATGTATATATTTACGTATTTTTATGTATTTGAAATGTATAAACGTATTTTTTTACTTATTTATATGTATTTTTAACCATTTTACATATTTTTTTATGTATTTTTATGTGTTATTTTTTATGTATTATGTATTTTTATATATTTTTACGTATTTATGTATTTTTTTAAAGCTTTTTATATAGATGTTTATGTATTTTAGGTGTATAAACGTATTTTTTACGTATTTATATCTATTTTTAAGTATTTTACATATTTTTTTATGTATTACGTATTTATGTATTTTTTAAAAGTTTTTTATATAGATGTTTTTGTATATTTATGTATTTTAAATGTATAAACGTTGAAACATCCCAAGTCCAGAACTACTATCATCTAAACGGGTCGGCATTGTGGCCGTAGAAACGTATTGTTTTACGTATTTATATGTATTTTACATATTTTTGTGCATTTTATGTGTTTTTTTATATATTATGTATTTATATATATTTTTGCATATTTATGTAATTTTTAGTTTTCTTATATAGATGTTTATGTATATTAAATGTTTAATCACGTAAAAATAATACAATTAATCATTTAATATACATAAAAATACATAAACATCTATATATGAAAACTAAAAAAATACATAACTACGTAAAAATACATATAAATACATAATACATAAAAAAACACATAAAACACACAAAAAATATGTAAAATACTTAAAAAAAATACATATAAATACGTAAAACAATACGTCTATACATTTAAAATACATAAATATAGAAAAACATCTATATAAAACACTTAAAAAAATACATAAATACGTAATACATAAAAAATATGTAAAATACTTAAAAATAGATATAAATACATAAAAAATATGTTTATACATTTAAAATACATAAACATCTATATAAAAAGCTTTAAAAAGTACATAAATACGTAAAAATACATAGAATTACATATAAATACATAATACATAAAAAAACACATAAAAATACATAAAAAAAATATGTAAAATGGTTAAAAATACATATAAATAAGTAAAAAAAAATACGTTTATATATTTAAAATACATAAAAAATACGTAAATATATACATATAAAAACATAAAAAATACACAAATACGTAAAAATAGATATAGGTATGTAAAAAATATGTTTATACATTATATAAAAATTTTGACGAAATCTGTAAAAAAGTCTCATTATTTTTGAAAAATTAACAATTTGGTCTCATGACCTGCTGAACAGGTCAAAAATGGCTAAAGTGAATAAATTAGCCAGTTTCTTAGGCTTTTTTTATTCAAAAGGTGAAAATATCATGACTTTTTTATTCAAAAAATAAAATTTAGGACTTTATTAAAAATTTGCCCAAAATATTATGACTTTTCTGGAGATATCCCGAATTTTTAGCAATGAGCCTAATGATGAAATAGAAATTAGTGTAGAGAGCAAGTCCTACACCCACAATGTAAGACGGTTGTAACACATATCTTTTAATTTTATTTAAATGAAATCAAAAGCCAAAAAGTAATAATAATTAGGCGAAATTACTAATCTAGCCATAATGGTTAATTACTTATAAAAAAAGCCAAAAAATACATCTTAGCCAAAAATAGCCCACAAAAGAGTAGTCAACATACAGTTGACTACGGTCAACGGGCGTTGACTACTGTTTTGCTTGAAATCTACTCTTTCGTGGTAATGGACTACTGTTTTACGGTCCGTTTATTTTTTCGTGGCCCATTAGCCCAAAGTATATAATGTTTAATTTTTCAAATTAGGTCATTTTTCACTATTGTTTTGTTGATTTTGGTACTTTTTTTCTCTCAATAGAGCACCCGAAGAACAACCAGGTTTGTCTACTTTTCATCAAAATTTTACCGTGTTCGTGATTAGGAGTAGGTTTTGTATATGGGGTTAAGGTTTTTTTTTTGAAAAAAATCGAAAAGAATAAAAATAAAACTGTAGGTTTCATACGAAACCTACGGTGTACAAGTGCCTGATGCACAGATTGTGCAGTGTCGACTTGTACACCTACGGTTTCGTATGAACCGTACGAAACTTTTTTTTTTCGTTTTTTTTTAAAGTTGATCCAACATGATCGGAATTGTATATATGTTATTATTTCATGATTTTTTTTATAAAACTCAAAAAAAAAAAATTGCGAAACCGTAGGTTTTTTGAAAACCTACGGTGTACAACAATTTAATGCACAATTTGTGCATTAAAAGGTTGTACACCGTAGGTTTCCAAAAAACCTACAGTTTTTTTCCGGTTTTTTATTAAAAAAAATTTATAACCAATAAACATTTGTATATATTGTCAATTCTGTGATTTTTTTTTGAAAAATAAAGAAACCGTAGGTTTGTATATAAAATCGTAGGTTTTATCATTTATGTACGATTTTATATTTATTTTCATTTTTCTTCAAATAAAATTGTTTCTACGGAATTTTAACGATTGTATATATGTTATGAATTTATGATTTTCATGTTTGCATTTTGTGAAAAAGTATGTTATTTTCTATGTCTCGATTATACCATACAATAGCAATGTACTATCTATTTGAAGAAGTTTCTATGTTTATAATGTGTAGATACTTTGAAGTAAAATGTATTGATAAAATAACATTGTGTTTTGGTAGTTTCGGGTTTGTTATAAAATATGTTATTGTCACACCATTTTCAAAGTACAATGCTATATTTGGTATACTATTAGTATAGAAAATACAAAAAATGTTGTCAATTAATTTCCTTTGGTATTTTATACAAAACAAATAGAATATATGAAAGGAATGATTAAGTGTTATATTGTTTGATTTGTTTACTTCTTTAACACTGTTTTTCTTTTATAAAACCTTATTGAACCTTAATGTTTATTTTATTTTGTAGCTTCCAAACAAAAGGATGATGTGTAACATATCTTTCAAAGCTTCATGTCATGAGTTGGATGAAGTTTTGAGTGGCTTGAACGGACAAGTGCGATATATTTTTTTCAACAACTAGCTTCGGTTACTTGTTGGACCTTCCAGCTCAGTCCGGAGATGGACTTCTTATTCATGGATTGTTACTGCATATGTTGCGTCCTACTGCTGAAACGGACGCAGCTGAGCGTCTACATTTTAGGTTTTCTAGACGTACATTATCATTTGGGCCCGAGGAGTTTTGTATTGTGTCCGGAATTTACATGGGTCGGTGTCCTAGATCAAGGATCGAATTTTCAACAATGTATAAACACGGATACGGTGAAAATACATTTCGGTCCAGAGTCTTCCCATATCGCACGGACACTAGTTTACTTGTAGAAGATTTAGAGCTCCTTATCTTGAATCAACGGTTCAATGAAATATCGGCTCACGACGGTGTCCGTGCCATTTTGCTATATATTCTGAATCAAAGTTTTTTGGGAAAAGAGCCTAATGATAAAGTCACCAAGGAATTTTTGTGGGTGGTGGAGAACATGGATGGATGGAATAGGTATTTGTCAATTTAATATTTTTAATAAAATACTATTTTTATACGTTTAACTAATATTTTTGTTTCTAAATATAGGTTCTGTTGGGGGAGCTATCAATGGAGTAAAACATACCCTAAATTGTCGGGTATGTTTAAAAAATTTGAGGATCATATGTCCAAACATCCAACAAAACCTTATATGTATACACTATCGAGTTTTGTTATTCCTTTGAAGGTATATTTAATTAATTAAAAAATACATACTTCATAATAGCAACATACTTCAAAAACCATAATAGCAACATAAACCATATATTCATGGATTATTTTCATTCATAATACAATCTATTTATTAAGATAATATACCTCATGTTGAGACCCGCAACAACAGATGAGTTCCCTCTGACCAGAAAATCCAAATCTGAGGATCTAATCTCATAGATATAACTTTTCCCCGATCCTTCATTTATCTCCCTTCGGGTTTTCGCCCATAGTTCAACATCATCAATTGGGTGATCACGCAAATCATCCCCATACTTCTCAAGTAAGGCTTGGGAGCACGTCTCCTACAAGAAAATAAAACAACACAATTGTTATTGTACTAAAAGA